TATATATATATATATATATATATATATATATATATATATATATATATATATATATATATATATATATATATATATATATATATGTTCATTTTAACTTCAAATTGTGTTAAATAAACTAGTTTTACAAAGAATTTTCACTTTATGAAAGATTGCTTTCAGTCTTTTTATCAACTGCGACATCAAATTAATCAGAAATATTAATGACATTATGGAAAAGTAAAAGGAACTCATGAAGTAATTAATACGTCTAAACACAGGAAATAGTGTTTGGCCGAACCACAAGGAAGTGGTTTCCAGCGCTGAACTTAACGAAGCGTTGCGGATGTCATTCGGTTACGGACATAATCCTAGAAGACAACCGGACGGCGCCCCATGTTCCAACGATGATCTGTACAACAGTAGAAATCAGGATATCATTACTACCAATCGAGCTGTTGCTAAAAATGATCGGAATTGGTGAGAATTTGTGAATGCAATCCATTTTTTTGCTGCAAGATATTCTGAACCAATTAGGGAATCATTTAAAATTACTCCTCACCAATTACTTAAAATTACTCCTTTCAAGTGATCTTAATTTTAAAAAAGAAATATTTCAAGTGAACAAATGATCTTTAAAGATGTTCTCGAATTTCTGCTTTTGAATGCAACTTATTCCAACTTTTTGACCTTCTGGCCCCCATAACTCCTGTGTTATCGCAATCCGAACACGGAGATTCTTCAATCTTTTTTAATATTCACCTTCTTCATCCTTTCATTTAGTCCCGCACTTGATTCATCATCATCATCAACAATGGCGACAGTAAATTTGCAGCGATCTCAAAGTGAAAGATTGAAGGAACGCGCACGAGCGCTAATGAAACGTATGGATATACGATCCTCCAGCAGGTATGTTCCCTTCATTACTTTAACCATAAAAATAATTCAGTAAGTATTTGACATATTTATTGATTACATTTTTAAAGAAAACATTCTATTATTTATCCGATTTTTGAATTGAAATTGATCACCGATATTTCATTCCCGAATTATTTGTTAAATTGAAAAAGAAAAATGTATGCTTCTCTTTGCTAGGTGCTTTTGGTACAAGTTTATATGTCTTCGTTGCTTTTGCATAATTCTCGAAGTGTTTTTATAGTATAATGAATTAAATTCACTTCAATGTTTTTGAACCTATACAACCCGACGGGCTATACCAAGCAAGCAATTTTGATAAAAAACCGCTCCAACCGGTGTGATTTGTAAACATGCACCTGTGCCAATTTTCCCCTCATTATATTCATTTTAATTGGAGTTTTTATTAAATCGTGACTTTGCGAACTTCCGGAGGCTTCGGGAGAGATATTAGATCTTGAAAATCCATCCCTCATATTCAGAATTACTGCCAGTAAGAAAGGCTCACAGTACATTTTGATTTGCAATTTTTTATAATTAAGTTAAATTTGAAAATAAAAACTTGTGGAATTTTATTTGTTAAATTGTTGGTTTCGATGAAGTCGTACCGGTTCCGATTCTTACTACCATATAAAGGAACATCAACTGAGTTTTTTAATAATATCGTTATCGCGGCCTCATCCTCATTATTAGCAATTACATCCTAATTTAGGGTCATAATGTTATTCCAGTCATAATTATATTGATAATAATTGTAAAAAACAATAATTAATAATGGTAATAACAGTAGTACTTTGAATGGACCTGGTCCATTCAGCTTCAAAAACATCGTATTTAAGACGTCGTCGACAGCGTGATTCTTCGGTAGCTGATTCAGCACTATCCACAACAAGCGGAGTTCCGCATTCATCGCTACAATCAGCCACGACATCGTCATTATTATCAAAAACTGCTTCAAGTGCGGGAGGTAGAGATTTAGTAATTGGTGATCCAGTGCTTGTTTCGCACTTCTCGGCTAGTCCACGAACTATGCGTATGTTCCCGGATGGTTTATCCAGTATTCTATCATCGCAGGCTGTCACACCACAAATTTTAAATCAATTTCGTCGCTGTACTACTGCCATGGAAGCGGACGATCAAATATCTGATGGAGGTACTGCTACCTTCTTCTGATCTTTTTTGCTCAGATTTCATTGAATTTAAATTTAGTCTGGGAATTCCTTGCAGATTTTTAAGTAAATTATAAAATGCTGCTAAAGATTATAGGTGTAGTGGAATGTGAGGTAATGAAGTGGTTATTATGATGAGTTAATTTGCTTTTTTTCTAGTTTAGATTTCAACAAGGCCCACCATTGACCGTCACTGGTGACCAGCTTGTTTTTCCGTCTTCTCTTCTTTTTGTGCGTTATCAGTACAAAATTATCGCTTAGTTCGCTGTGCTCCTTTTGCTTCTCCAAACAGAATTTCACTTTTTTCTTCAACTTCTCAATATCAGCAATTGTGAAATTTATGGAGGATGATTCTGTTACTGGAAGGAAATTAATACAGGAATCAGAAACTTATACATTTTAACACTGAACAAACGCCCTGAAATTCGCTTGAAATTCGTCTCTCACCTAGTAAAAGAGCTGAAACTTATTGCCCCTATTTCATAGAAAACTTTTTTTAATTTTATTTTCATTTTTCTTTCACTTTTTTTTATTTATTTATTTCGTAAAAAACTACAAAATTAATTTACTACGCTTATCTGAAAAGATATGCCGCAGTTTTTTTAGTTATTATCACTGGTGCTATCCATGAGGAGCAGGAAAACTTCTAGTTGGTCTTATCGGCATTTATTGTATCATTTGTGTTGTATAATTTCCCTGATTCCGCATTAGTGTTTGTTCCGCTCAATGCAATTTTACTACCGGGATGCATGATGATGGTTTGCAGTAACGTTTGCCGTGTTGCAACCAACCACGCGGCAACAACAACAACAACAACAACAACAACAACAACGACAACAACAACAACGACAACAACAACAACAAC